GTCTGCTTCTAATCCTAACCCCTCACTAATATTTGAAACATGGGCTTTTCTTATTTCCATATAGCAGAGTTTTAAAATAATGTTAAATATAAAGTAATGCAAAATTCCTTGTTACCAAATTAATACATTTGGCAAATCTTAATATATTTTTAACAATTTATGTAACAAGTTTTAAATAAGGTAATAATTTGTTTATTCAAATATAACCCTTTTTATTTTTATTTTTGTTTGCCTTACTTTGTATAGTTATGAATAGAATTCTGGCGCCATTTGTTGTTAATTGTAAGTTTGTCCTGTATGTCATGTGTGTTGTTTTGTATTGTATGTTGTGTGTGTCACGTGACTATTTTTTATTATTTTTATTTTGTTGCAACAAAAGTCAATTTTATACCCTTTTAAAAATATATGTATATGTGGTACCACATTATTTTAAGATCATCGTAGTATCAGTAACACCAATTTTTGTGCAAGTTAAAAAACGTTTCAGTTACAAATATATGTACATATATTTCTGCCTCAACAAATAATGCAATTGCATACAAAAATAATTCTCTTATCAATCACAGGTTTTTTTTTTGTTTTTTAAGGTTTTTTTAATTTGTTATTCAAAGAAAAAATGTAAGGGGAAACCTCAACATTAAGGTAAAGATAATATTAACAAAATGTTAATTTCTTGTTTGGGCTTTTTATAAACTTGTTTGCACTTTTAAATATAGTTATAAGAATGTCATAACCAAAATGTTTTAAAATAACAATTTATGCATAAAGCTAACCAAACAATTTGAACAGGTTTCCACCTTTGGCTCCCAAACATAACAAAGCATCATGAAAGTATATCCTCAAATACCCTCAAAGTACTGTATTTAAAATTTATTTTGGTTTACTTTTATAGTTGGTTTAATTTTTTATGCTTTTCTTTTGTTGTTATGTTATGTTAATGGGAAGCAGTGGTTGTTAAAGTTGTGCTACTAAACAGTTAACAAGAGTGAAATTGGTATCACAAGCAAAATAACTCTAAAAAGCTTGGTAAAAATTCTGTTAACTCCTTTGTTGAAACAAATTGTTCATCAAGGGAAAGCAATACACCTTCTCATGGAAGATTGTGAGCATTTATTTTAGCCGTTAAGCATTACATTTTGTATGAAATATTAGTAATGCACCTCAAATGAAAAAGAATGTCTATACAACAATTGAAAAAGTATAGCGTGTGTTATAAAAGGCTCGGTCCCCTTGTTATCCATATAAAAGTCTAACTCCTCTTTTGAATCTCACTAAATTCTAAGGGTATATCTTCACTGGCAGAGTTACATCACTGGCAGTTACAGTGCTGCTGAGAGAGTGCTGAAGGGAAACTGCTGTTGTGTGTTCACACTGTCAGATGCTTGTGCAATAGAGTGTTCACACTTGCAACAGTATTGGGAGCAGTGCACTCTGGGCAGCTATCCCACAGAGCATCTCTTCCTCTTCTGTCGCTAAGAGTTGTGGGAAGGCGGAGGGGGTCGCAAGGCATTCTGGGTCTTGTCCTAATGCCCCATGATGCATTGCTTCGCATCCCAGCAATCCCTGTGCTTCCTTCCCCATTTGGCGCCATCTTTCAATCGTTTCTGTACTGCGTGCTCTGCTCTGCCTCTTCGGTCTGCAGGAATGGATCCTGCACCGTTGACCAATATGCTGCTCACTCTCACTAACACGTCACAAGTGGCAGTGTAGTTATTCCTTAAACTACAAAGGCAAGAGCAGTCCAACATTAATCTCGCCATGCATAGTAGCTACGACACGAGATTGCTTGTGGCATTCATGAGGGTGCTGACCACAGTGGAGATTGCTTGTGGCATTCATGAGGGTGCTGACCACAGTGGAACGCCCATTTTGGGCTCGGGAAACAAGCACTGAGTGGTGGGATCACATTGTCATGCAAGTCTGGGATGCAGAGCAGTGGCTGCAGAACTTTCGGATGAGGAAAACCACATTCATGGGAGTGTGTGATGAACTTGCCCCAGCCCTGCGGCACAAGGACACAAGAATGAGAGTTGCCCTGTCGTTGGAGAAGCGCGTGACGATTGCACTGTGGAAGCTGGCTACTCCAGACTGCTACTGATCGGTCACTAACCAGTTCGGAGTGGGAAAGTCGACTGTTGGACTCGTGTTGACGGAAGTGTGCAGGGCCATTAATCACATCCTGCTCCAAAAGACTGTGACTCTAGGCAACGTGCATGACATTGTGGATGGCTTTGCACAAATGCGTTTCCCTAGCTGCGGAGGAGCAACAGATGGTGCACATATTCCAATTCTGGCACCAGACCACCTAGCCACAGAGTACATTAATCGCAAGGGGTATTTCTCAATGGTCTCCAGGCGCTTGTGGATCACCGTGGGCGTTTCACAGACATTAACATAGGCTGGTCTGGAAAGGTGCATGATGGACACACAGAACATTGGCCTGTTCGGGAAGCTGCAAGCAGGGACTTTCTTCCCGGACCAGAATATCACCGTAGGGGAAGTTGATATGCCCATTGTGATCCTGGGAGACCCTGTCTACCCCTTAATGCTGTGGCTTATGAAGCCATACACAGGGCACCTTGACAGCAGCAAGGGGCAGTTCAACAACAGGCTGAGCAAGTGCAGAATAACTGTTGAGTGTGCTTTTGGCCATTTAAAAACTGATTTGTTAAAAAAAGTTAAAAGAGCCACACTTTTTACAATAACTAAACCAGACCTGAATTAACATAAGTCCTGATCCTACAGTGCACCCAACATGGAATCACACTAAAAGAGTATGTGGAGGGGTCTGAGTGCCCAGAGCAGTTTGTGGGTTTGGAGCCTTAGCTTCATCCTTATTCATTTTTAGTTATGACTTAACTTGGAAAAAGTCATCTACACAAAGCTTGCTAAGGGTGAAGGTATATAACCAATAACCATGAAAAAGGGAGCTGAAAATCTTGACACCTCTTTTGTCACATATCAGTTTTACATTCTTTTAGTTTACTAGTCAGAGATTACAAGGCCAGAAGGAACCAGGGTAATCATCTAGTCCAGTGGTCCCCAAACATTGTACCTCACCCCACCCCTTACCCATGTCTGCGCTTCTCACCCCCGGAGCCAGGACCCCATTGTTACTTCAAGGCCTCAATACAGCTCAAAATTATTTGCGGGTTCTCCCCAACCTGGCAAAGGTCCAGCCCACTCGCACCATTCTCTATACAAAGCTCCAGTTCTTTTGCATTTTACAAATATTAATTAACACCTCTTTAAGATAAAGAAATATCATTCATTTTACATATAGGCAGGGCTGCCCAGAGGGGGGCGCAAGTGGGGCAATTTGCCCCAGGCCCCGCAGGGGCCCCCACAAGAATATAGCATTCTATAGTATTGCAACTTTTTGTTATGGAAGGGGCCCCCAAAATTGCTTTGCCCCAGGCCCCCTGAATCCTGCATATAGGGGTATGTAACACTGAAAAATCAAGGACAAAATTTGTGTCCACCTCCAAAAATTGTAGTTTAAGTGATTTGCACATAGGATGCCTGTGGCAGGCCACAGCTAGAAGCCAGTTGTTCTGGAACCCAGTCTGCTGCATTAACCACGGATTAGCTATTTTTCTTTCATGCAACATCCTTTTATTCAGTAATTTCATCATATTTAATTATTTGCTAGACATATTAATGTGTATGTCCCACAGCACATTGCAGAGATGGGTAAGCAGAAATAGCCCCATTGTAGAAATAGCATAGGCAAGTGCATAGACTGGTCTTAATCTTTCTAAAGGTACCTTAGGAACCTCTGTTAATACTAATTTTGAGACTGACCTGACTTTCTGATGGATCTTAGAAAGAATGTAAATTCAGTTTAAAACAAGACTTAGCTGCAGTATTAGCTAAGACATGAAATGCCACCACTTGGTTCCATAATTAGCCCTCCAAAGATAAGCAGCAAAGTTTGAACATGAGACCTTCTGACCCACACCACAGACCTCTACCACCTGGGGTGCTGGGACAATTTGTATAGAGGGGGTGCTGAGAGCCATTGAACCAATCTGTAAATATTGTATATGACAGAAACCATTTCAAACCAGGGGGTATTGCTACACCCCTAGTTCCAGCACCTATGTCTACTACTTAAACTAGTAAACACTTTACAAGTGGTTTCCCCAACTGCTTGGTAGGCACCAGGAAGGCAGCGTTGGGAAGAAAGATGCCTGGTCCCCTTTGCAGCTCTGGGGCAGACGCAGGGGGTAGCGGTTAGAGCAGCGGTTACAATTTGCCAAGCACAGCGCGTGGGTCCCGACGCCTCAGGAGGCAGCCTGGCTACTCTAACGTATGAGGCCTGGGTTCAGTCTCAGCTCCGACCAAAGTGACCATCATCAACCGCAGTCACATGATCCTTGGAACAGGTGTGGGCCGCACCGACCCGTCAGCGGGAGGGGAGAGGAGATGGGAACTCGTGCCCTCCCGGCTGCCTACTCGCCGTGCTGCGGGCAAGCGGCTGCCGCGCTCCGCCCACCACAAGGGCAACGCAGGCTCGCGGGGAGCCGGGGCAGCTCAGGGTCGCAGCGGGGGCTCAAGCTGCTACCGTTCGCCCTGGGGTACGTGGCTGGGGCGAGGGCCCCTCGCGAGGCTGCGCACGCGGGACCAGAAAAACCGGAAACTACCCCCTCAACCGTTCTTAGCACCGCCTCGCGCACTTACCCCCCACGCGCCGGCTCGTGGTGTCTCTCCCCTAAAGCGACAGCGGGCCCGGTTCGTGGTCCCAGGCCACTTCCGGCGCCTGTCGTGACGTAACCGGAACTACCAGCCTGCCTTCAACTATTGTCGCCCGTTATTGGTTAAAGAGCGTGTTTATTTCTGACGTTCCCGGAAGGGCGCCGTAGGAGGAGTGGGGCTGATGAGTCCGCTTTCAGCGCGCCCGCGGAAAGGAGGAAGCGGCTGGGAGTAATGTCTTCCCGCCCTGCCTGAGCTGCTTCACCGGCAGCTCCGCGTGAGGTGGGTGCGGGGGGCTCTGCGCGAATCCCGGCCCGGGCTTACGACGGCGTTTTGGTTCGCCCTCGTCCCGCGGGGCAGGGGTCGCGCCGGGATGGCTCTGGCGGAGATGGGAGGCGGGGTTGCGTCTCATTCCTACTCTCTGCAAGGGGCGTGAATGACTTTCCCCCCTCACCCCGTCCCCGAGGGGCCAGAGCCGAGGTCCCAGCACAGCTGGTCAGTGTCAGAGCTCCTATTGCTAGTGACTTCCGAGGGGAGCAGATCGGGCCCCGGGGTTGTGGCGCTGTAACTGTGTAGCCCCGAGCGGCACAGCCCCGCGTTATATCAGCATAACGACGCTTTAGAGCGGTGTAGCTGGGAAGGGGATTAAGCAATATTAGTATAACTCTGCACTAGTGCAACTGTGTCCACGCTAGGGCTTTTACTGGTGTGGCTATTTTACTTTGGTTAGGGATTTGGGTTTTCTTATTGAAATAATCACATTGGTAAAACTTTCAAGTTCTGAGGGCCTTGAGCCAGGACAGCAGTTCATTTAAAGGCTGGAACTACAGCATTATGGCTTAGGGCAGGAACTATTCATGCAGCATGTGAGTTTCTGGGTGTGTTGTAAAGACTAGAAGGTGTTTGGCTTATAGCTCAGACACAGAAAGAAACCCCCCACATCAGGGATGTATCTGCAGTAGGGAAATGTTGAACTCCTAATTCACTTTCTCTGTTGATGGAAGCTATAGTGCAGAGAGAGCTATGATGCTTTTACCATCCTCAGAATTAGCCCTTCCTAGAGTGTGGTTAAATAACGCCGTGGTAACCTGGGACCCATCTGCTACAGCCTCCACCAGGGGAGCTGAGTCTATTGGCAACTAAGGGTTCCTGGCTGTGAATTGCAAGCAGAAATAGGCATCTCCCTAAAGTCTAGATTTAGGCACCTGACTGTGAGAGGGACAGAGTTTAGGATACCTAACTCAGGCTTTGCAGATCCCAGTCTTGTTCCAGAGATTTTCTAGGCAGCTGCTAGTTAGGCATTGTAACACCTAAAGTCCCTTTGTATATCTGGGCCTTAGACACTCTGAGTCTGAGTTCCCCGTCTTTAAAATTGAGATAATAGCATTTTCCTACCTCACTTGGGTGTTATGAGGATAAATACATTTAAAGACTCTGAGTTGCTCAGATGTTATGGTAATAATGACCATATAAGTACCTTAGATAGATATGTGTAAATAACTACATCAGGTGCAGAGAGACAAGGTGAGGTAATATCTTTTATTGGACCAACTTCTGTTGGTGAGAGAGACAACTAACTCAGTTTCCCAGACCTGAAGAAGATCTCTGTAAGCTCAAAAGCTTGTCTCTCTCACCAACAGAAGTTGATCCAATAAAATATATTACCTCACCCACCTCCTCTCTCTAATATCCTGGGACCAACGTGGCTAACACAACACTGCATACATCAGGTGCAACATTCCAGGTTCCAATTTTGATGGTTTGGTGGAGAGCCCAGGTATGACTTAATACATTGTTATGGTATACTGCAGCTGCACCTGCCGACATCAGGGGATGCACTTCCACAGGGGGGCTTTGACACAAGCCCGTCACAAGTGCACTGGGGGAAGATGGCACCGGCAGGACATCTGCAGCTGAGAGTAGAGCAGGGTCTTTAACCCTGGTGCTGAGCACTGTTAGTTATTCATGTTGTTCAAGAGCAAACGATTGTCCCAAAGACTACCTCGTCCCACTGGGATGAGACGGAGATTTCCTGATCTACCAATACGGGCTTCACACTATGCGACCTGAGTCATTGAGTCTTTCTTGACAACTTCCTTCACCTAGGGTAGTTAAGCACAGCTGCTGCCCTGCATCTTCGCTGCCTGTGTTCGCCATCATTTTCAGGGTTCTCATTGGACGTGTCCATCTTGCATAATGTCCAAGGCGATGTTTTGGACCAGCCTTCATCGCTGATGGCATAGTTCTAACAAGCAATCCCCTACTTCATAGAATCAATCATAGAATATCAGGGTTGGAAGGGACCAATTCCCAACTAAATCATCCCAGCCAGGGCTTTGTCAAGCTGGGCCTTAAAAACCTCCAAGGAAGGAGATTCCACCACCTCCCTAGGTAAAGCATTCCAGTGCTTCACCACCCTCCTAGTGAAATAGTGTTTCCTAATATTCAACCTAGACCTCCCCCACTGCAACTTGAGACCATTGCTCCTTGTTCTGTCATCTGCCACTACTGAGAACAGCCGAGCTCCATCTTCTTTGGAACCCCCCCTCAGGTAGTTGAAAGCAGCTATCAAATCCCCCCTCATTCTTCTCTTCTGCAGACTAAACAATCCCAGTTCCCTCAGCCTCTCCTCAAAGTCATGTGCTCCAGACCCCTAATCATTTTTGTTGCCCTCCGCTGGACGCTTTCCAATATTTCCACATCCTTCTTGTAGTGTGGGGCCCAAAACTGGACAGAGTACTCCAGATGAAGCCTCACCAATGTCGAATAAAGGGGAATGATCACGTTCCTCGATCTGCTGGCAATGCCCCTGCTTATACAGCCCAAAATGCCGTTAGCCTTCTTGGCAACAAGGGCACACTGTTGACTCATATCCAGCTTCTTGTCCACTGTGACTCCTAGGTCCTTTTCTGCAGAACTGCTACCTAGCTATTCGGTCCCTAGTCTGTAACAGTGCATAGGATTCTTCCGTCCTAAGTGCAGGACTCTGCACTTGTCCTTGTTGAACCTCATCAGGTTTTTTTTGTCCGAATCCTCTAATTTGTCTAGGTCCCTCTGTATCTGATCCCTACCCTCCAGCGTATCTACCACGCCTCCCAGTTTAGTGTCATCTGCAAACTTGCTGAGAGTGCAGTCCACACCATCCTCCAGATCATTAATAAAGGTATTAAACAAAACGAGCCCGACGATCTAGCCAGCTTTCTATCCTCCTTACAGTCCATTCATCCAGCCCATACTTCTTTAA